ATTAATTTCAAGGGGATAAAAAAAAAACTTACAGATTTAAATATAACTTGTGAAAAAAAGCATTTATAATTGCTGCAATTCTATCTAAAGGAGCAGATTAACTATTCCAGAATTTCAGTTGACGTACATTTCAGACATGTTATTAAGAAAATAATATTTGGCTTGACAAAACCAACCAAAAGCTCTGTCTTAATTGGTCGCTGATCTGACACAACTCTTAATCTCTGTTCTCTGGGACTAAAAGGTCAATATTGAAGGATTTATGAGTTTGATTATCCATCCAGTCACTCAGTGCCTCCGGATATCAGGCAACTCTCTGAGACCGTAAGGGAAGGAGAAAGTGCCTAGAGGATTTCCTCCCAAGAAGTTCCCTTCACCAATGAAATTATTGGTCCAGCAGGTGGCAAAATACATAGATCCCAGGGTAGCTGGGAGGTGCAGTAGATAGAGCACCAGGCCTGGAGTCAGGAAGACCTGAGTTCAAATCCAGCCTCAGACACTTTACTTAGCTGTGTGATCCTGGGCAAGTCATTTCACCCTGTTTGCCTCAGTTTCCTCATCTGTAGAATGAGCTAGAAAGGAAATGGCAAACCGCTCCCGTATCTTTTCCAAGAAAACTCCAAATGGGGTCACAAAGAGTCAGATACGATTGAAAAATGACTAAATAGCAAAATAGATCCCAGGAGCACAGATTTTGAACTAGAAGGAATCTTGGATTCCCTCATTTGACAGATAAGAAACTGAGACATAGAGCATGATTTGCCCAGGGTCATACATCTAGCTAGATGGATAGATAGATGGATGGATGGATGGATGGATAAATATAAATATACATGTACATGTATACATATACATGTATACACACAGGTATGATGCATATGCACATATAGATGTAGGGATAGGGGCTGTACCTGTGATGTATAGCTCTATATTTACCAATGATACATGTAATCTTTAGTTCCACATTTTATGCTACAACAATCAGTATTAAGCACCTACTATGTGCACATACTGTGTTAAGTCCTCATTTAGGAAAAGAATTTTGAACATTCAAAATGTAGGGATGATAAAAGTTCATTTATAACTTGAGGGGTGTCAAAAGTTCATTTATAACTTTATTGTATGTTCCTTGTTACCTTAAGAGGCATCATTTCTTGCTGTTTATCTCCTCCCCTCCATGTAATCTTTTGTCTCAAGGATTCTCACACCAAAGAAAGGCCAGCAGGGTCCCTCAGCACTGGGGCCCCACATGAACCCTAGCCTGGGTGGATTCCACGTCCTAACTGGGCCTGAGCTGGATTTTACTCACTCCTAAGTCTGCTCTTAGCTGCTCCCCTAGACCTCTGGGCATATTTGGGGGTGGTGGGCGTGGAGGGGCATGTGTGAAAGTTATTCTCATAGCTCCCCGGGCAGGGCCATGAGTGGGCAGGCTCTTCTGTAGCCCCCAGAGCAGCAGAGGACGCAGCAGTGAAGGCCAGGCCAGGCTCGTGGGGACGCTCCAGTTCCGTCCTTCTCTTCCTTTTGCTTGGATTCCTTCTCCAGGCTCCTCTCAAATGTTCGACCTTCCTGGTTCCTTTGCTTCCACCGACAAACATGCTCAGTCTCCTCCATCTCACTCGACACCAAACCTTCCCTCGACATCGCCATCACCCCCTGCTCCTGCCCTACCTAATATGACTTAGTGGATCAGGCCCTGCCCTTGGAGCCAGGAAGACTCAGACCATCATGGCTACTGGACAGAGTGCTAGACCTAGAGCATAGTGACCTAGGTTCGAATTCCGGCTCCAACCCTTCCTGCCTTGAGCATGAACAAGTCCCTTAATCTATCTGAGCCTTGGCTTCTGCATCTAGAAATGTGCTACCTACTTCGTGGGGCCATTTTGAGGAGAGTGCTTTGGCAACTTCAAGAAGCTTATTAAGTGTGTGTGAATTGTTGGTATTAGGCCAACCCCACATCTGAAAAAGAAAATGCAAATGCCCTCTGTCCCTTTCTATGTGAGGTATTCAGCGGCAGCTGTTATGTTAGAAGCGTTTTTGTTTTCCACAGTGGATGTGTCCAAAGTTCTGTCCAGGTGTTCTAGACAGGGTGTCCCCAAAGTCTTAGTGTGATTTTAAACTTTGATAGCTTAAAGTCTGTTCAGATTAAAGCTTAATGATTAAGCTTCAATAGCTTTCATTGCTGTTTATGAATGCTTAAATAGCTTTAGACTGGGCTTTACACTGAGACTTCAGGGACATCTTAAGTGACTCCAAATTTTTGTTCTAAGACAAATGTTCTGCACTTGGGTCTGTGAACTTTTTTAAAAAATATTTGGAGGGGACGGCTAGGTGGCACAGTGGATAGAGCACCGGCCCTGGATTCAGGAGGACCTGAGTTCAAATCCAGCCTCAGACACATAACACTTACTAGCTGTGGGACCCTGGGCAAGTCACTTAACCCCCATTGCCCAAAAACAAAACAAAAATAAAAAATATTTTGATCACTACATTTCAGTAGAATTGATTTCCTTTCTTATCTTATGTATTTTATTTTGTGCATCTAAATACATGACTCTAAGAGGGGGTCTCTAGGCTTGGCCAGACTGCCCAAGGGGTGAAGGACCTGTGTCAAAAATTTTTTCCACCTGTTGAGGGCTGGAATTTTTAAATCTCTACTAAGATACTTGTAGAGGTCTGATGGCTACTTTGCAATTTGATTCTGGAGAAATGTATAATATCCTTTGTTTAAAAAAAAAAGAGATACATGCATAGGAAAGTTGACTAGGAAACCAATTTCTGTAAAGCACAAACTTCTTTTCAGTGGGATTAATAATGACATGGCATTTCCTGTCCATCTCCTCCTTTGCTCTGGAAGCCCCCTTCTTCCAGTGGTAACCCCCTGGGTTTTTATGGAATATAGGACTTTGTCCTGTGAAGATTCCCCAACCACATGCTTAGTTTTCAGAATGTCCTTTCCTCCTCTTCTGCTTTTCTCTTCCTCCTCCTCCCCTAACTTTCTCCTACCCCCTTTTCTCCTTTTCTTCTTCCTCCTCCTTCTCCTCCTCCTCTGCTCAGATTGCTGGCCACATCTGTTTACACTGTATTGTAATATTCCACCAACCACAAGTACCACCAAGCCCACGTTTTCAGAATGGCTTGAAGGTCATTTTCCTTTGGTTGATGGCTGTGCCCACACCTCACACCCAGCCTTCATTGGAAGATGTAGGTCCTCAGAATTCACTTTCTTCATGGTAGAGATTGTGCTGAGCTGTATGGGATCAAGCCACCCTGAGCTGAGCCAAGTTTGTTTACTCCTCTCTATAGTTTACATTCCTTTATTTCATTAGGGTTAATTGAAGCCATAGAGGTGGACAAAGACAAATAGAACCAATAACAGAGGCCATCTGGCGGCCCTTCCGACACAGCTTCCCTCCACCTGGAGAAAGGCGGAAGATCCTGCTCTGGGTTATGCATTCCATCTGCCTCTTGCCTACATGGACAGCTTCTGTATGGATGTCCCCCAGCATGCCAAATGGGATCACAGGAGCATAGGCTTACAGCAGAGGTCATCTGGTCCAATTCTCTCATTTTACAGATGAGGAAACTGAGGCCCACAGAGGTTACATTACAAGTAGTATGACTTGCTGAACCAGGATTAGCTACCAGGAACTCCGACACCCAATCCAGGGCTCTTTATTCTGTACCATATTTTATACCATTGCTGGCATACGTCTCTTAAAGACTATGGGCTACAAGCTGTTCCAGAAATGGGGGCTTGATGGCCATGGGACCCTGTGTTAGATGGTGGCACCCTGAATGTAATGTGAGTTTTCAGTTTGGGGTTATGAGAGACAGCCTGGAACAGTGGAAATTCACAGATTTCAGGTCAGGCTCAGATCTTGACCCTGTCACATGCTGACTGTGTGACCCTGGAGAGTTGAGAGCTTGGAGGACACCACGTGCAACCCCCTTATTTTACAGGTGGACACAGAGAGGTTTAGTGGTTGTCCAGGGTCACACAGCATCTGAGTCAGGATTGGAACTCAAGTCTTCCTGACTCCAAGTCAACTGCTCTGTCCACTAAGCCACAGTGCCCTCTTCCAAGGCACTTAACCTCTGAGTGTCCTTGTCAATTTTCAGATGACCAGTCCACAATTCGGTGGTAATGCTACTTTGGTAGAGGGTCTTTCCTCACCAAGAGTTCCCTAGACGGATGCAGTCATGGTTCCAGTTCACGTCCCAGGCACTCTTCGAGGCACTAGGATTACAAGGGCAAAATTAAACCAGTCACTTCCCTCCAGAAGCTAACGTTCTATCAGGGATAACAAAATAAGCAAATGGAAAGTATGTGCAAAATGATTACAAGGAAATTCTGTCTGGAAGGCGCTAGGGACTGAGAGCATTAGGAAAGGTAGAGCTAGGTCTGAATGCTGCCCTATTATGTACTACCTGTGTGACCTTTCCCATTTAACCTTTCTTGGTGTCAGTTTCCTCATCTGTAAAACAAGGACTGACTAGATGACCTCTATGTGTAGAACCTCTACGCACCTGACTGCTTGTCAGAGCCTGAAGGATGGGCATTCTTCCAGGTCCCCTTAGTTTTTCGTGTGTGTATGTGGAGGGGTGGGCGGTGATTTTTAGGAAAAAAAAAATCCCAGTCTCATTCAAGAGGGTTTTTTCATTCCCAGTGTCTAGCACCGTATCTGGCACATAGTAGGTCCTTAACCAAAATATGTTGAACTTTCTGCTGAGTCAATTTGTCAACGAACAACTCCATGTTGTTTTCTGTCTTGCCAGTTGTTAGGTCTTGGAATAGCAAGTCTTAGCTGTATTTTGTGACCCAACCCTTCTCCCATTCACCTTTGTTAACAGCACCTGCCTCCCAGGGTTGTTGTAAGGATAAATGAGCTATTTATAAAGTGCTTTACAAATCCTAAAGTATCATATAAAGGCTAGCAATTATTTGGGAGAAAATCGGTAGCCTTTCTGATTTGCCCTTTTTCTGTCCTGCTGTGGTACAGGACTCTGGAGGGACATAGATGAGTCCTGGAATTTCCTCCAGGATTATGACCCAGAGATGATCAAAGAAGAGAAGAGGAAAGAACTGGAATCAGAGATCAGAGTTCAGGTGCGTTGTTATCAATGACAATGACGAGTTTGGTTTTTAATGATTAACACGGACACCTCAGTTATGTTTAAAAGTTTATCAGGATCTCCAGATTCAGTACATTCAGTAGGCAAAAATGTTTAAAACGAAGATACTTCTGATGGCACCGGATAATTCGGGTTCAAATATTGCCTTTGATAGCTACTATTCCCGTGACCAAGCTGCTGCTCTATGCCTCAGTTTCCATAGATGTCAAATGCAAGACTTTGACTCAACAGACTCCAAGGTCCCTTCCATGTCTAAAGCCATGACCCTGTGACCCTGGATATTGAAAGTTCCCCATGCCTTAAAGCCCGTTGATCCTGTTAACAATTGTTGGACTAAGAATCACCCACCGAAATTGTCCATCCCACTCTAAATGGCCGTAAACTGATTTATCAATGTGTCTCCGCCTAGGTGGATGAGCTGATGAGACAGGAACTGAAGAATCTAAAATTAGCTGTGGACCGAGAAAAGGAAGTCCCAAGAAAAGCAAAGAAGAAGAAGGAAAAAAAGGTGAGGCTGAAATTGACACAGTCCACTCTAAAATGGGATTCCTGAGGTCAGTGGTTTGGAGAACTCCAGGTTCACCGAGCAGACCATCACTGCCTTGGTTTGTTTGCCTTAAAACCAAAGAAAAACATTTCAAATTATATTTGAAAAGTCTTTTTACTCACACATCCCAGGACAAGTTTTGACAATTCTGTGATTCTAAGTACAGCGAGATTCATCAAGAGTCATTTAAAGAACAAGCAAAAGAAAAGGGAATCTCGTTGGACCAGTCCTGCTCCATTCCTGAGCTTTCATTGGTCTAGTCCCAAAGTCAAGGTGAGCCAGGCCAGCCATAGGCAGAGTTGTGAAGTCAGCAATTTGTCAGCTCTCCCCTCTAACCACAGCTTCACCTCCCTTTCCCCCTCCTTTGTGTCCCTCTTCCACTCCCCTGTAAAGTCCCCCCATGTCTTCATGCTCTCTTCACCCCTTCCTTTGTCTCACGCCTCTGGGACCTGAGGAGTCTTCTATTGCTGACCGGCTAGCCTTTAATGAAGCACATCTGGGCTTTATAATTGTGGCCTTAGCTCATCTGAACACTTTATTCTCTCCAGGTGTGGAGGAAAAACGTCTCTCCCCCTTTTCCCTTCCTGAATGGGATTTTAGACATCAGAAAAAAAGTAAATATGGGTGGTGGAAGGCAAAGGAGCCCCTAAATCACACCATGTAATCTACTCTACTGGTCTTGATGCTAGAATGCCTTTGAGGGGAGATAGTATGGGAAAATTACTTCAAGGGTCTCATTGTCCCTCCTTATCCATGCCGTCTGCTTTGAGGGGGCCCAGGTCTGGGGGCGGTTCAGAAATATCACTGAAGCTTCTGATGAAGAGGTGTGCTCAGTAATATGGAGAGAGTGCTGACCCTGGAGGCATAGGGCCTGAGTTCAAATCCTTGCTCTGCTACTTACTAGGAACATGACCTTGGGCAAGTCAGTTTACTGTGGTGGGCCTCAGGCTCCCCCTATGGAAAATGGGAAGAGGGATAGATGGCTTGCTGATTCCTTAGGTCCTTTCTAGCTCTAAATACTGAGAATTATCTGAGTTCAAATCCTGACTCCATGATTTGCTTACCTATGCGCACTTGAACAAATAACTTGTGTGCTCTCTGCTTCAGTTTCCTTTGCTATGAAATGGGAAGATTAGACCCAATGGTCTCCAAGGTCCATTCCAGCTCCAAATCTATGGTTTGTGAAGTTTCTGGCTGCGTCGCCCTATTGTCCTCATCTGTCAAATAAGGGTGTTGGGAGCCTGTAAGGTCCCTTTCTGCTCAAAATGTATAACCCTGTTTTCTTGGTTAGGAAAGATAGAGATATTACTGCATTGTATTGAGTAAGCCTTAAATAATGAAATTTCATTTATTCTTCCTTTCCAGTTTCCCTAATCCCATTAGGTTTAATTAAAATTGCATATGGAGGTAAAGGAGAACAGAGCCATTAACCTAACACTGTTCTAACCATATGAGCATCTGACTACTAATCTTTAAGCAGGAAGATTCATCATTGCATCCTAATAAAAATAAGAAAGCAGTAAGTCATCTTTTTTGAAAACGTAGCTTCTGAAAGCTCAGAAAGAACTTTTCACCAGCAATGAAACTTACTGGGCCACATTTAAGGAAACCTGTCAGATAAAAAGGTGCTGGGCTTCTTAATGCCCCCAATTTTATAGCCTCCGTTTCAGATGTTGGAATATTCGCTCATGGATCATGGATAAACATCTGCTTTGCTTCATGACTCCATTCTTCTTAACTTTGAAAAATTATTAAATTAATCTTAATCTATATTATTTAGAATTTCAGAAGGGACTTTCAAGACCGCTGGTCCAACCAGAAACCACAGCCCCCGATCAAATCCAGCCTTTGCTTGTAAAACTCCAGGGATGGGCATTTGTGAAAATTGGGGGGAAACTATCAATCAGGAAGTTCTTCCTTACATCAGTTCTCAGTCTACCTCTCAGCAGCTTCTTCCCATTTCTCTTCCTCTGGGACCGAGCAGAGCAAGTCTAGGATCATAATAAGTTCCTGGACCAAAAGCCGGAAGGACGAAAGAGGCCGTGTGGGCCAACCTGTCTCCCAACAAGAGAGCTCCGAAGAATTACTGGGCGCTTCACTCTCCAAAAGAGATTATATCCTCTTGGGTCACTAGACTGTCTCTGGGATCATTTGTCATCCCCTAACGTATGCATTCAGCCTCTATAGTTAGCAGAGTGGCAGGTCATAGGGGAATCATTGCTTTAGAACTGAAAGCGACCTTCAAGGCCACCCAATCCAACTGATCCATTTTACAGATGAGAAAATCGAGGCTCAGGCTGCTGAAGTGACTTCATAGGATTCTAGACCACAGAGCTGGAAGGGACCTTAGAGGTCATCAAGGTCTGACATTTTACAGATAGGGAAATTGAGGCCCAAGTAGGTAAGGATCACACAGTTAGAAAGCGTCCAAGGAAGGATTTTAAGTGTGTTCTTTGTGACTCTAGCTACTGCACCACCCTGCCTCCACCTTGAAGGCAGGCTTGTTTCGTTCTTGTCCTGGCAGCCCCATCTCCCAGCACGGTGCCTGGCATATAAAACAGACTTGCTGATTACTTTGCTCAGAATTATTCATAGTTTTCTAAATAGGAGCCTTCTCCCTCCCCATTCACCAAAGGAATCCATGTATCTAACTCTTTTCAATATATTTGTCCGGGGGTATGAACCTTCTAATAGCAATAAGCTGAGAACCAGAAAGTAGAGAATAAAAATTATATTTTCAAACCATTAGGAGACCTTCCCTGACCCCCCACAGGTTCCCCCCTTTTTCAAATAATCTCTCTCTCTTCCTCCCAGCAAATTATGCAAATGCTTTAGGACCATTTAAAATCAGAACTAAATTGTCTGGTTGATTACAGTACCCACCGAGTTCAGAGAAGGGGAGATCTAGGAGGACAGAAGTGGTCGGAGCTGGCCCGCTCTGTGCATTATGGTGCCACCTCCCTGCCCCCATTGAATTGGTGGGATGAGGTCAAGGCATGGAGTCCATCCCCCGGGGCAGAAGAGTTTAAACACAAAGCCTAGAATCTCAGAGTTGGGAGGGACCTTATAGTCAACCCTACCCTACAGCTTCTTAATGTCTACTGCAATCCTATCAGGGGGCCACGCAGCATTGGCCTGTAGGACAAAAGGGTTAGAGTGGGCAGAGACCATCTGGTCTGGCCCCCTCAAATTACAGATGAGGAAACTGAGGCTCAAAGGTGAAGTGAGTTAGTACCATAGGATCATGTTGTTGTTTATCCTTCGTTAGGACTGAAAGAGGCCTTGGGGCACCTCTTTCAATCCCTCACTTCAACTTAGGAGGAAGCTGAGTCCCAGGGAAAGGTCAGTGACTTGCCCAAGTTTGTATAAGGAGTAATCATGAGAAGTGGGATTTGAACTCAGCGCCTCTGATTCCAGAATCATGGCTTCTTCCTCTTTAGCACAATGGAAAGAACCGACATTTTGGCTCCCTTAACCAACATTCAGTACAGTGAAGGGTTGTTCAAGTGTTGTAGGCAAATGAGGGTGATGCAGAAGCAGGGCATGTGACCTAAAGGTCGCATCAGGGAGCATCAGGGCAGGGAGGAGACATGGGATGGGATTCCATGGGGAGGCACTAGCTGTGGTCCAGGCATCAGGCGATGATGGAGGCCTCAACTGGGGTGGATGCAGTGAGAATGAAGACAGCAAAAATGGATAAGAAACACTCAGAAGGAAGATTCTTCCCTCAAAGAGCTTATGTTCTATCATGAAAGATAGTAAGTATCCATCCACAAGTGTTGCTCAAGTACCTGCGGGCATCAAGCCATTCTTAGGGTGACTGGGGAAGCTGGGTGGCTCAATGGATAGAGCAAAGAGCACTGGGCCTGGAATCTAGAAGAGCTGAATTCAAATCTGGCTCGGATCTTACTGGGTCACCCTGAAAAAATCATGTTACTTCTGTTTGCCTCAGTTTCCTCATCTGTAAAATGGGAATAACAATAGTACCTATTTCCCAGGGTTATTGATTTAGGACCATTTAAAATCAGAACTAAATTGTCTGGTTGATTACAGTACCCACAGAGTTCAGAGAAGGGGAGATTTGGGAGGACAGAAGTGGTCGGTTCAAATGAGTAAATAATTATTAAAGCATTTAACACAGTGCCTGGCCCATAATAAGTGCTATATAAATGTTCGTTATTATTATTTCAGTATGCAGGGAATGATAGCAGGGGATGAGCTAAGAATCACTCATGAAATTTGCTGGCATAAATCCTCTGCCCTTCATTGGTGCCTGTCCAAATGGGGGGGGGGGGGGTCAGACATCAGGAAATGGCTCCTTAGTGGGCCTGTGGGAGTCACCTCCCTTCTCCAATGGTACATGTCCATTCATTTATAGATTTCAGGATCAATAAGGTGGTGATTCACCAGGGCAATGTGAAATCACTTTGAGTTTGCATTGTACATCACTCCTTCCACCTTGCCAGAGGAGGCCCCTCTACTTTATTCCTGGAGTTCCTCATGCTTCTGATGTGCCAGGCCCCTTTGGCAATCTGTGAAGCCTAGGGAGCCCTTCTCAACATAATATTTTAGATGCATAAATTAAGACACAGGATTAACAAAAAAACCAATTATATTGGAATAGTTATCAATTTTTTTTAAATCAAGTTCACAGACCCCAGGTTAAGCATCCCTGCATTATATTTGAAGAAGACCCAGGTTCTGCAAACACTGCTGTAGGCCAGCCCCTTGAATGCTGTGTTCAATGGACTTAGGAGATATTGTTAAGGACATTAGTCCTTGTATATGAGAATCCTTTCCTTCTGGAAGGCAAAGCTAAAGATCCAAGGGCAAAACTGCCCAGGAAATGGCAATTGACCAATCAATCCCCCTTCATGGATTAGGTGCCTACTGTGTGCCAGACACTGGGTTAGGAGCTGGGCACCCAACAGAACCATCCCTGCTTACATTCTGTTGCAGAG